ATCCTTCCCCAGAAAGAAACCCCATATTCACCAGCAGTCATTCTTCCTTTCTCCACAGCACTAAGCAGACACTAATCTACTTGCCTCTGTGGATATGAATATGCATGTTCTGGACACTTCATGTAAATGGAATGATACAATATGTGGTCTGTTTTGACTGATTTATTTCACCTAGCATAGTCTTTTAAAGGCTCATCCATGTTGTTTCATGTATCAGTATTTCATTCCTTTTTTTTTTTTTTTTTTAATATGGAGTCTCACTCTGTCACCCAGGCTGGAGTGCGGTGGTGTGACCTCGCTTACTGCAATTTCTGCCTCCTGGGTTTAAATGATTCTCATGTTTCATCTTAAGTAGCTGGGATTACAGATGTGTGCCACCACACCCAGCTAATTTTTTGTATTTTTGTAGAGACAGGATTTTGCCATGTTGGCCAGGCTGGTCTCAAACTCCTGACCTCAAGTGATCTGACTGCCTTTGCCTCTCAAAGTGCTGGGATTACAGGTATGAGCTACTGCACCCTGCCCATTTCATTCCTTTTTATCATCAAATAATTATTTCATTGCATGTTTATACCAAATTCTGTTTATCCATTCATCAGTTGATGGACATTTGAATTGTTTTCACTCTTTTCATTATTATGAATAAATGCTGGTATAAATATTTATGTACATGTTTCTGTGTATACATGTTTTCATTTTCATAGGAGTAGAATTGTTGGGTCATAGAATTGTTGGGTCATATGGTAACTCTATGCTTAACATTTTTCGGAATCGTCAGACTATTTTCCAAAGTGGTTCCATCATTATACATTCTCACCAGTTCACAACCATTTTAATGTCTATGCATACATATTTATTTGCTGCAAAGTATTGCATTGTTTAGATACACCATGATTCAGTTAACTATTTTCTGTTGTCAGATTTTTAAGTATTTGTATTTGTGTCTAACAAGTTTAATGTCTTTGAAAGTCCATGATGTGGTGCTATTGAGTTGTAAAGCATGAACGTTTTTGAATCTCTCTTCTACCTTCTTCATTGCCCAACCCCTCTGCCTGACTACCCCACCATACACAATCTTTCACAGGTGCATATTTTTAGTAGCAGATATTCCACTTTCCCTAGCATTGACTGACTTTGCTCATTGAATAGGTTTTTAAACAGGTATAACACAGTTTTAAATTCCAGTCATTTTATTCCTAAATAGGCTGAATATATCTTTTCATATTTATCTTTGAGGTAATTTACTTTTGTGTGAATTTTCTGAAAACAAAAAACTATGACCTTCATTTTATAAATAAGGGTCACAAGCTTCAGAAGGGAAAAAGGGAAAGGAAATGAAGTTGTTGATCTTCCATCATGTTCTGGAACCTTGCTAGGTGCTTTGCATGTACCTTTTCACTTAATTTATCTCTGAAAGTAACCAATAGGTAAGATTAAACAAACACACATTGCCATAAAGTGGCAGAGTCATTTTTTAAAGTTTATTTTTACACATCAAAGAGGAGGGAGGGTTTTATAACTTAGCTTTTCTTCCTCTGAAAATAATGGAGGCAGATGAAATTGCAGAAGTCATAAAAGAAAGGCTCCTCTTCCAAAAATAATGATTACATATATCCTTTTCACTAAGAAGCTATTTAGAGAGTCAATAGGGAAATATTTTCTATATCAACTTGGTTGTTATAAGCCTATCAACAATATGTAGATTGTCAGCACCATCTTTGTGGATTGATCTCACCAAATGGAAACTAGGAAAAGGAGCAGGCTTGCGAGGGTGTGTGGAGATGGAAATCAGAATCAACTCTGTGGATTTATTATAGTACTCAACTCCCTTGAGGCTTTTAGAGGAACAGCAAACATGACTTTTCACTCAGTGTTCCTGAAGATTTCATTAAGAACATAGGAGTTCTTCAAGCTTTAAAATAGCAAAGAGATTCTTTGAATATGATTAAATCAATTCAATTCAATACTCATGTGACAGGTTAATTCCCTGTTCTTATCTTACTTGACTTATCCGCTGCATCAACACAGTTGATCACCACCACAGCTCCTGATTTTATTCTTACATTTCTGACCATTCCGTTTCAGTCTCTTTTATTATCTCTGTAGTGATGATGTCAAGATTTGTAGCACCAGTTCAGACTTTCCTCCTGAATTTCAAGCCTGTATTTCCAGCACTCCTCCCTCTTTTCACTTGAATGTTTAATAGGCATCTCGAAGGTATTATGTCCAGAAATTAGCTCCTGAAATTATACCCACCCAAATTCTGCTCTTTCCAGTGTTCTTGGTCTTAGTAGTTTAACTTAATTCTCCCAGTTATTTGGGCTCTCAGACTACTTTATTATCCTTATTTCTTCTCTTTCTCTCACAGACATCCAATCTACCCACAAAATCTGTTGGTTTGACCCTCAAAACATATTTAGAATATAACCATTTTTACTCTACCCTTAGTCTAAACTATCATTATTTCTTTCGGTTTGGATTATTGTGATGATGTCCTAACCAATCTCCCTGAAAAATTATCTGTGAAATTTATTTCTATACATCCAACAGGCACAATGAACTCTAGGTAGAATAAATTCAGTGAGGTCCACATCAAGACACATTGTAATCAAACTGTTGAATGTCAAAGACAGACAATCTTGAAAGCAACAGGAAAGTAGCAACTATCATGTACAAGGGAATCTTAGTAAGATGAACAGTTGGCTATTTATCAGGAACTATGGAAGCCAGAAAACAGTGGACATATTTAAATTGCTGAAAGAAAAAATCTATCAACCAAGAATTCTACATCTGGCAAAATTGTCTTTCAAAAGTGAGGGAGAAATTAAGATATTCCCAAACAAACAAAAGCTGGGGGAGTTCACTGCAAGTAGACCTGCCCTGAAAGAAATGCTATAAGGTGTCCTCAAGTTGAAATGAAAGGACACTAAATGGTAACTTGCAGCTGTATGAAGAAATAAAGATCTACAGTAAAGGTAACTACATGGGCAAATATAAAAGCAAGTATTATTGTGTAGTATAATGGAGAATATATGTGGTCTCTCTGGTCTTTGTACCTGGCTCCTGGCACAGAGCTTCAAAAGCCGTTGGAATTACCTGAGTGACAAGAGTATATCTTTTATGCTAATGAGGTGAATCTCTGTAGGCTCCTAGATAGCTTCAGAATGGGGACTGGTCACTGGAAAGATCAACCACATGATTAGATGATAGCAACATCTGGGAAGGGTATCTTTATGTTTTATATACAGGAATCCTCAAAGTCCAGGTGATGCTAGTTCTGTTGGTCACTGGACTGTATTTTGAGCAGCAAAGAAATAACATTTGTTAAAACTGGTCAGACCATATCACCTGAAGCGCTTATTAAAAATACTGTCCAGATTACCTGACCCTACTCTACATCTGCCAAATCAGAATTAATCAACTTCTCAGGAGGCTTTCATAATTCAATAAATTTGGGAAATGCTGAGGTAGGGCAGAGCTAAATGTGGCGCCTAAGAGATGAAGTGGTGAGTCATTGAAATACAGCCCAAAGGGGTGTGGACAGGAGCTGCTGGGCATGCCCTTGGCTCTCACCTTCAAAGGGAAGTGAGTGGACTGGGTGAGTTCCCTCTCGTGATTATCTCAGGTCAGTATTTGCCTTTGTAATTGATGGAGAACTTCTTTTTTTTTTTTTTTGAGACGGAGTCTCGCTCTGTCGCCCAGGCTGGAGTGCAGTGGCTGGATCTCAGCTCACTGCAAGCTCCGCCTCCCAGGTTTACGCCATTCTCCTGCCTCACCCTCCCCAGTAGCTGGGACTACAGATGCCCGCCACCTCGCCCGGCTAGTTTTTTGTATTTTTTAATAGAGACGGGGTTTCACCGTGTTAGCCAGGATGGTCTCAATCTCCTGACCTCGTGATCCACCCGTCTCGGCCTCCCAAAGGATGGAGAACTTCTTAATTTCTCTTTCTAGTGCCTCTAGAGTGTTGACAGCTGTTTCCATGGACTTCAAATCAACTCAGCCCTGTGAGCACAGACTTTCAGCACCAGAGTCAGATTCCCCAAAAATGCTATTCTTGAAGTGTAGAGCCAGACTCACAGGTCCTGTAAAGAAAACAGACCTTTGAGCAAGTGAAACACCCAATCTTCCATTGCATGGGACTCACAGAGGTTCTGAGGGAGAGATGTGAATGGAAGGAGTGATTATCATTGTGGACTCTATTTCTTCCATCTCTGCATGCAAGATTTATATCTGTATGTGTTTGTTTTAAAGTTTTACTGAGGTATAATTGATAAACAATAATCTGTACCTATTTAATATATACAATTGGATGAGTTTGGACATACATATACCTGGGAAACCATCACCACAATCAAGGTAATAGACATAGCCATCACCTCCAAAAGTTTCTTTGTGTCCCTTTGTGGTTTGTTTCTGAGATAAGAATACTTAACATGTGGACTCTTGACACTCTCCTTGGATCTCTTAATTTGATTGCTGTTGCTGTCACCACATTGACCTCCTAGGCCTGCTGATCCTCTTTTATCACTAACTCTAGAAAAAAAACAAACCAAACACCACAAATTCATTTATTCAGTAATTCAACATAAAACCATTGAGCACTTAATATTTGCAGAATACGTGGCTAGATGCAGAGGATTCAAAGAATTGAGTGAAGTCACATAAAGTGTTAAGAACAGTGTGCGATACAAACATGAAATATGTTAGCTGTTAGAATTTCAAACTCACTTCCATATCAATTATAATAAGGATTTCCATAAACAGCAGAATAGTATTTTTATCAGATACTCGCAGATGCTAATAAAACAGTAGAATGGTTAAAAACCATGTGTCCCCCAAGGCAAGAGAAGGTGAGCTATTTTGCCTCAGTGGCTCAATATTCCATCAATGGGTCCTGCTTTAAACTGTAAGTACTTACCTGCCTTCCTTCTTTCAACAGACTGACTCCAGGTTGCTTTAGGAAAGATTCATTGAAACAAAGGAATAAAACACCCAAGATATAGTGTTTTTAAAAACATTTTTTAATGAAGAAATAATTCCACTCCAAAATATAGACACACAATTAAATAGTTTAATCACTTCAAAATATAACATGTCCCCAGGAGGTTCCAACACACACACACATACACACAAAACAATACTTAACAGCAATACAAAAATCCATACAATAGTAGTTTTTTTTTTACAATACCAATGAATATTGTGAAATCTTTAGTGTCTCTGAATTATTTCAAATGGTGTCAAATTGCAGTAGTCACAATTAAAAATGTCTTACAGTTAATTCGCCTCAAGATGTGACACTTCGGATTTTTTTTTTCTCTTTTTGGTTCAAAAGTAAAAATGCCCTTTCTTCTAAGGACAGTGGAGTTCTCACTTGTGGCTCCTGGTGTGGAATCGAACCAAGGTGAATGCAGCAACCAAAGGTTGCTGGATTTACAAGATCTATCTATAGTTAACAGCCAAGAACTAATAAGGGTGGACAAAGATGATCAAAATAAAAGCAGACATCAGTGCTAAATTATGATGCAACAGTTTGGCTCATGCATATAAGAAAATACATAGTATATCACAACAAAGGCCACACACTCTTAATGCAATTCAGTTCACATTACTACTTACAAATGAACCTTCCCTGCCTTATAGTAGATCATTCGAGAATCCATTTTTCATAATCTCCAGCACAACTCCCTCTGACCAACCAAACTTACCCCGACTTCCGTCCTGACCAACCACAACTGTTTCCTGAATCCCATGCAGTAGATTTCACCTTCCTCCCCTCCTCCATTAACATGGCGCTGTGGGGGAGGGTTGGCTGTGTTAGACCAGTGCTTATTAATAGGCTACCAGCTCTGATGGAGATGGATGTGCAATTCATTGTGGAACAAGAAAGAAACAACCCCCACAAGATGTAGCTGGATCTAAGGGACACGACAAGTGAAACCTGCTGGGTTTGCACTTAGAACAGGCCCCAAAAGTAAATCTGGAGAGCCAAGGAAAGAAACCCACCAAAAAACACAAAACCCCAAAATAACACACGCCATTTTGTCTCGGTTACAGGACAGGGGTGCTTGAGTCTGGTCTCAGTGCTGACGTGGAGCTAAGAGAAAGAAAAGGTGGCTGGTTAGTCAGAAATTGGTCATTGGCGGCAGTTTCCAGAGTCCTTGCAATGGCTTTATATGATGGTATCAACAACCATGTGATGGAGTTGGTTGGCAATGAAATAGCTATGACAACGGGGAAGGTTATCAGCAGAACAGTTCAAATCTTAGACGAACATTTTGATGTAGAAACACAAAAAAACAACATATGCCAGCTCGGTCCAGTCAGTGGTGGAGTGCCACGTGCAGGATTTAAGTTCTGAGTTCAAGAACTACCTGGCTATGATTTCGAGCTGACAGCATTATAGGTAGCTGGGATGTAGTGGTTTTCAGTACTGAGTATGAGGCACCAGTGGCCACCTGCTCCATCTAGAGAGGTATGGGTTCACAGAGGATGGGCAGTGGAAAAGAGATGAACATTAAGACACCCCAACAAAACCCGCAATAAAAATCAATCTGTGCAAAGAAATCTGAGAACTGTGCAGTTGTGCCACTTTGGTGTCAGCCTGTGCTCAGGGACATTTTTCAGGCGGGTTCTCTGGAGAGATGTATGATTAAGTACGTCAAGGGACAGGATGGGCCTCTCACTAATGCCAATCGAACGCTTTATCCCCAAGGCAAGCGATTTGGTTTCAAAGGGCAGCCAAGGAGATGATGTCTGACCAAATGCAGACATGTGAACATCGTACAGCCGCCCTCTGCAGAGGGGGCATGAAGATGTCAGGACTCGGCTGGGCATCCACCAACTACGAACTTTTTGTGTAGGTTTGGAGAAGGTTTTTGCCAGTCCCAGAAGCAAAAGTGAATCACAGAACCTTTCCTGCTTATTCTGAATAAGGCCTTTTCAGAGACTTTATTATACGAACTTCATTCTAAAGCAGTAGTTCTCAACCTTTAGCGAGCATCAGAATCACCTAGAGGGTTGATTAAAACAGATTTCTGGACCCACCCCAGAGCTTCTGATTCAGTAGGCCTGAGGTGGGACTTTAGAATTAGTATTTTGGAGACCTTCCTAAGTGTTGCAGATGCTGCTGGTCCAGGGGACACACTTTGAGAATTATTCTAAAATGTTCTCTCCTTTCTTTTAAAGGAGAGACAGGAATTCCAGAGAAACTGCTAAGTTAAGCCTAATGTGTTGAATATGTCGCAGGCTTTTTTTAAAAAATCAAATCTTGAAGCAATTAGAAGATTACTTTTTCATTTTCCCCAGAATTCCCAAAGGAGGTCTTTAGGGCCCTCTATAGAGGGTCCTTAGAAAAGACTATCCCAGTCTTTTATCCTCTTGTCTTTGATAGTTCTGTTGCACTTCAGCTTTTCACTGAGTGCAAAATCCCAACTCAACTTAGATGAGCCTGTCTCCTTTCACATGACCACAGAAGGCTACATGCAGAACACCAGGTGGCCAGCTAAGGCAATCAACATTCAGAAATAAAAGGAGAGAGAACGTTTGCAAGCGCACTTTAAGCCTGTACATTTAAAGCTGAAGGCCTCCAAACAACTTGATAGGGGAACTTGTGAACGAGCAGTGCTGTTAAAGACATGCTTCCTAAAGCCAAAACGAGAGGAACAAGACCATGGAAGAGCAGAGATAACTTTAGTCCGTTTGGGGATCTTATGGCACCTGTGGTTTATAAACAGCTTTAGTAACGAGTATTTCAAAACATAGTTCACAGTTTTTAAGAAGATCTGTGCTGATTTTTAAAAACTAGATTCTATATAATTTGAATGTTGCCTTTTTTGAATATGGTATCTATTTGGAAAAAAATATTTACACTAAATTCTATGGCTGATTTGTTAGAGTATCTTGAAAGAAAACAACCCCAAGTTGGAAAGAGGCCCCAAAGAAGATTATTCCTGGTGTGTTTGGTTCAAGTCACTGCTCACAGAGACTTGGAGTCAACTACAGACCGTGCAGGCCAAGGACCCTTCTTGGCTTCCAGGCTCTGAGTTTGTACACTCAGGAACCAAATTCTTCAGGGTTAGTGAATGATTGCAAGTGGTTGTTTTTTTCCAATTGCTGTGAAAAAAAATGTACAGTGTATAATAAACTGTTTTGCTAAAATCCAAACAATTCAGAAATCAAACGTCTAGCTATAAACAGTATTAATATTGTCATTGTAAACTGAACAGGTTCAATATCATGTGCAAAGGTTTAAAATGCTTGTTAATACTGCCATTGTGTATAACAGCAGCATGGGTTTTCAGCCTGTGTTTGTTTGCTTTTTAACCAGAGATGAACCATGTTACAGAGGATGTAGCTGATAAGTTAACTTTGAACAAAAGTCTTTTTTTTTTTTTCCTTCTTGAAACACACACCTATGCACTAAAAATCTTAGAACAAAAAGTTAGCTGCACTATAGTCATCAGAACACATCTTTAGGGGTGGGGGGTTTGTCGGGAGCTGCTGGGTGTGGTGGCTCCTCTCTTCGGTGAGGCTGCTGCCAGGCTGCTGTCTTCCTCCTCTGTGTGGCCACAGGGCTCTCCATCATCACCAGTTTTCATGTTACTTTCATCATCTGTCTGACTATAGCTTGCCTGGGAATAAGGAATGTGTAATTTTTTTTAAAGATGCAAATTGTTTCTAAATTAGGGTTATGAAGCTTAGGATCCCCCCCCTTTCCCCAATACAGACGAAAGCACACATGCGCGCACACACACACACACACAGGCACACACACACTCCTTTCCTATGACAATCAGGAATTAATGTCCTAGGACACTGTGTGCTATTGCATCTTCTGGAAGAGAGGACAGGAAGTCCTCTATGTGGATCTCTTTCTTAGTGGGTACCGGAGGCGTCTGGAGGGGAAAAGCCACACAAACGGAAGTATTTGTGCTGTCCTTTGGACAAAGAGATAAAACCAGTGACCCATCATTAGGATGCCATGTTGGTTTTTAAAAAATCTACTGTGGATGGTCCAATCCTCTATTTTCCATTAGGATGTGAGTGGCCAAGGAGAGTGGTGTACCATGTGGCCAGAGGATGTAAGAGGGACAAATTCAATACCTAAGTGGGCCAAAATTGAGTCCTGGAGGACGCTAAGCTGAGTGCCATTATGTATACTGTTTCTTCAGAACTAGCTAGTTGAAAACCAATAAGCCAGGTTTTAAACTATTCACTCTTTTTAGTATTGTATGTTGATAAGGGCGTACTTATTTTCAAATAGGTCTAAAGCTCTTTTTGAGCAGATGTTGCATCTTCTCTGTCTCTGGCATCCACCTTCTGCCCCTTCCCCATGCAAGGCTCCCTCTGCCTTCGCGGATGGCTAATGTCAAGCTGATGAACTGGCTTCAGACCCTTGGATAAGAGACACATATACTTTGGGATAATTTCTGGTCTTGCAGTATAGTCAGGAAGTCTAAACAGAAATATTTTAATAAAATAAACTGGTCTAAAATGTACCTGTACTTCTTGGTTACATTAAGAAAGAGTACAATAGGATAGAGCCAGCTGCAAAAATGAAAAGCCACTAGTTTTTATAACATTCTATCAGGTTTTAAATGAATTTGCCTATGTGGCTGATTGAATGACAGGCTGGTTGTTGTTCAGAGTTCTGTGGAATTCCAGCTAGGTAGACTACAGGATGCAGTAAATGGCAAAGACTACAACTGTCTAATTTTTCACTGCTAAATTTGCAACAAAAGATTTAAAAAATGGCCTAGGAACTTCTAGCGTACTGACATTTTTGGCTTTTAGGTACAAAATGCTACTTTTTATCTGAGTTTAAGGCAAGCACATTTTATTAGACTTTCAAAAATATTTTTCTAAGAACTAGCTACTGATGTTTAAATAATGTGCAGAACAACAATGATCAAATTGCTGAAGCTAAGAGAAAGAAAATGCTATTAAAGGAAAAGGCCTGCCCCTTGGGACTAAGTTTGTTATAACTGGAGTGAATATTTTCAGAAACAGCTCCTGGGAATTTTTTCGTTCTAGTTGTCATGAGTCAGGAGAGCATGTGGTGTGGCACTCTCAAATCCAAGAGAGGAAGAATAGAGAGTGGTCAGTGAGCTCCTTCCTCACTGCTCATAAAGTATATAATATGATCATAGCAATTACTCCGCGATTGTCACTTGCTTAATTTTAACCTGAGGACTGAGACAGGATGTCAGTAGCATTTACACTAGCATGTATTCTTTCTTAATTAGTATGTCATTTAACAGATATTTGTTCCTTTTTCAAATTATTAATAGCAACCAGCATTGATAGCATTACTGTCCACTGCACCATAGACTTACATAGATTCCATGGTTGGGAAAGCTCAAATGTTTGGGCCAGTGCAGTCAGAATCCTTTGAGAGGTATATTTGCTTTGAACTATCATGGGGGTATCTAATTGGCTATTAACTGGAGCCAGAGAAAAAAATCTAGACTTATGGAACAGTGTGGCCCACAGTGTGCCAAGTCATCACACGTAGCTGCGTCCTAGCCTTGTTTATAAAAGTAGAAGAGAGAGAAAGCCAGTTCTGGGTCCCAGTGTTTCCCGTACACTTAGGTAAACACTATGGCAGCTGCCAGGTGTTGAAGTGCTATAAAGCACTGAACATAGGGGCAGGCATACATGTGAATGTTCATAATAAATGATAATGTGCCTTGCACTATGCCAAGCTCTTTAAAAACTATATCCCAGTGAGTAGGATATGGTTTTTAATACGGGCCTCTTCTGTGGTGATACATAATACCAGCCTCTTCTGTGAGGCTATTATGCAATATGTTGTATAGAGGAAACTGAGGCTAATACAGATTTAATAATTTGCCCAAAGTTTTGCTGCTAGGATTTGGTGAAATCCATATTTGAAATGGGTCTATTAGAGTCTGGCGCCTAAGGTTCAGACCACTACAGTCAAGTGATTCTGCCAGTCCAGTGCTAATCTCTCTGCATTAAAAAATTACTGCGGATTCTCCACATATTTAGGTAGGGCTTTGGAGTGGTTTCACATGCCGTGAAAATCGTATTTTAAATTAATTTATATACTGCTGAATTCCACAATGGATTTGAATCAGGTATTCCAAAAACATACGGCTGCAGAATTTTTCCTCCGTTTAGGCTCTTTTGTTCTTAATAATGCATGGTTCTTCTTTCACTCATTGAGACACACACATTTGATCTCTTGAGCCCTAGGTATAGTATGACTAGTAAGCTGGCCCATCTCTAGAGGTACTGACTTTTCCTTTTCAAGTGCTAGAGCGGCTACAAACTCTGATATTGTCATGGATTGGTGATGTGACAAACTTATTGGTAAGTTTCATAGCCACAGAAGATTACTGGAACATCTCTAGGTTTAGAAGTTTTGTGCCAATTTCCCTAGCTAATAGAGTAAGAAGTCAACTCCAAGGATGTCTGGCAAATCTCCACTAGTTTATAATGAAACACTCCATAGACTGAGATGATTCTTTGATATCAGCAGGGAAGGAGGATATTTTATCACATAGAAAGAAATGACTAAGAGAAGTGATTGTGAATTTACATTACAAGTTATCAGAATTGAGTGTACAGTGGCCGTATTTCCTCCTAAATAAGACGGTACTTACTTGAGAGGAGTGTGATAAAAGGATATTGCATTCAACCTTGCAAGCTGACCTGTGGGTGACAAAGGACATAAACGAGAAAGGTGACACGTCAAGTCTGTGATGCAGTCAAGCTGGTGAATTATTTGGCAGGAAGCCATGCACAAAGACACAGAGAGAGAGTCTATTGAATGAGAGTAGCATTCCAATCCATCCAGCAACCATATGCTCACGGAGCATTCAAGGAAAACCACTTTGACATCCTCCAGGGCATATGTTTTGAGTGGAGATACACAGGCTTGTTATATTCTCCCAGCCTCTTCCCTGTCCTTTTCTTAGAAGTCATGAGGCATGGAAAAGAAAGGAGAAGGAGAGGGAGCTTAATATTTACGAGCGATGGTAAAACCTCCAGTTGAATCTTAAGTCATTAGTAGAAATTCCCTTCATTTTACACATAGAAGGTTACATTTTTAATTCATTCAAATGAATAAAAATCTAATATTTTATATGGAACAGTGTAAGCCTGCCTCCCTTAAAGAAAAAAAAAAAAACCCTAGAATTTCAGCTACTGCTGCCACTGAAATACAGAAAGTGACATGAGCTCAAAGAGGGAGGCCTAATTGACACTTCTGATAGCATGAACCAGAACACTGGTTATTTAGTCACATTTTTCTTTCTTTCTTTCTACACAGCAGAGCCTAATGAGATATGTGTAGGAATGCCATCCCTCAGAGTTCCCAGAGATGCCCTGGCAGTTTTATTCCAGGCTGGTTTCCTTCTGTGGAGGAGCCACAGAAGGCGCAAGGAAAACTGCACTCTCCACGGGTTTGCAATCAGACAACTTTGTTTCTGAAGCGTGGGAGCATGGCTCTACATATATAGTCACTTATGTTTTTCTTTTTCCCTCTTTCCTTGGTATGGCTAGACCAACATTTTAGTTGCTTCTGAAATGTGGTTGTTAAACTGAAAAGGCAAATGGAACATTCCAAAGAGGCAAAACTTTGTTTTTATATTTCTGGGATGGAATTGGTGGGCTTCCGTTTCTCTCCTGCTACAATCTTCTTGGAAAAATATTTCAAGGCTTTATCTATAGACATATGAAAAATAGGAGATAATTTATTCTTTCTGCTTCTCTCTCTCTTTTTTTTTTTTTCCAATAACAAAGTAAGAGAGGGCACTGCTGCCCTAATAATATGCAGAAAGGCTGGGTATGGTGGCTTATGCGTGTAATCCCAACACTTTGGGAGGCCGGGGTGGGAGGACTGCTTGAGACCAGAAGTTCAATACCAGCTTGAACAACATGGTGGACCCTGTCTCCACAACAAATAAAAACATTAGCCAGGTGTGGTAGTGTGCACCTGTAGTCCCAGCTACAGGAGGCTGAGGTGGGAGGACCACTTGTGCTCAGGAGTTCGAGGCTGCAGTAAGCTATGATCATGCGACTGCACTCCAGCCTGGGCAACAGAATGACCCTGTCTCAAAAAGAAAAAAACAAAAACAAAAACAAAAACAAAACAAAAAACCAAAAGAATGTGCAGAAAACTTGTCTGGCCATTCGACAGAAAGTCTGACAGGATAAAATAACCAATGAGGCCCAGGAAAATGCTGGTCTCAACCAGGCAAACATCCCTGAAATACTAGAACCCCAAGCAAACACCTGTGAATTAAAGGGAAAAGGAACACATGAGGAAGACAAACAAGGCAATAGAACGTTCTCCACGGCAAAATGCGTGGCCTTTAGGATGAGTCGCTGGTTACATTTATTCCCAATTGTATATGTCATGTTCAGTGAATTTCCAGGTGGCTGACACACTCCAGTACATCTGAAAATCTGTCTGTCCACACCTTGCTGAACACAGGCCTGCAGTTCCCCCAACATTTCTCCATGAGGTTTGCCATTCTCCTACTTACACTTGGCATGAGGTGGGCAATGAGGAAGGCTGAGGGCAAATAATTTGAGGTAGGTGATGGGTTTATGATTATTCAATTTTCTTGTGCCCTGCTCTTTGCATCCATTAAAAATAATTATGAGAAAAAGCATCTTTCTTAATGGGCCTGAAAGAGTTTGGACTGTTAGTGACCATGTTTTTTTCCAATATAAGAAGGCCACTTATCACTTTCTATGGCAGAATTTAAAAGAATACATGGTGAGTGACAGTTATAAGAAGTGGGTGCAGTGGCTCACACTTGTAATCCCAGCACTTTGGGAGGCTGAGGTGGGCGGATCACGAGGTCAGGAGTTTGAGACCGGCCTGGCCAATATGGTGAAACCTCGTCTCTACTAAAAAAATACAGAAATTAGCTGGGCGTAGTGATGCGCACCTGTAGTCCCAGCAACTGGGGAGGCTGAGGCAGGAGAATTGCTTAAACCCAGGGAGGCAGAGGTTGCAGTGAGCCAAGATCACACCACTGCACTCCAGCCTGGGTGACAGAGTGAAACTCTGTCTCAAAAAAAAAAAAAAAAAAAAAAGAAGCATTTAATATTTGTACTGTCTAGAAGACATGGATTAAGGAGTAAAATCAGCATATTTTGGAAAGGGAGGGTGGAAGGAAGGAGAAGGCCCTGATTCTGCAAGTCATGTCAAAGACCCAGCTACCAAGGGGTTGAGGCAGAAGAGGTGGGGTGGGTGGGCCTGGATCCCGGTACCTGATAGGCTTCATCCTGCAGCTTCTGTTTCAGGTATTCCTCCATCTTGAGCTCATTCTCCAGCTGCCGGACAGAGTCATTTTCATAGTTTTCATCATCAGGCCGCACATAGGGATCTGCATCCTCCGTAACCCTGAGAATAAACCACAGATGACATTTTAGAGTGAATCTTAAAAGAGAATTACAAGTGGGATTTGTGTGTGAGCTGTAGTTTATTGGCACCTTTATTTCTCCTTAGTTCTCCAAGTCACTTTCATGTCTTCTTTAGTAATACCTAAAGAAAAACTTGGAAACATTTTGGAGGTTGGAAGCAATATATGATCAAGGTATTTTCATACACAATTTTTTTATGGCAGTTGTGGTCATAGGTCATCTCTCTTTTCCTAGGGTTTACTGAAATGGGTTGGTCCTTTAAATGTTCTATATTTTTAAAAATGGCAAACATCTTTTGAGGGGATACAAAGTTTTCCCAATCTGAGGGCTCTTTTTATTCTTCTTCAAAATAGAACCCAAGATCACTTTCTGTATGGAGAGTGAGCCCTCTAGTGAAGTAATGCTTAAGGACATTTGGTTTTAATTTAATCTCTTTTGTGTTACCCACACATGCACATACACATATGAATGCACACCACATTCATGCCTTATTTTTACAGAATTAAGTCTAAGAATATCAGCTAGTCGATGCCAGGAGGGCTACTAACCCATAACTCTTGATATTAGCTCTAAATCTGAAAAAAAAAAAGCATTTTAATTATCCAATTCCACTCTGAAATAAATAGTTAAAAATGACTTCATTCCCTGACGTGGGACTCTGTCTCCATCTATTCATCCTAGACTATGCAAAGCTCTTCATGGGACTGGACGTAAGCTTGCTACCTAAATCAGAGGACTAAAAGATTCTCAGGGTAAAACACAAGGACATGTTTAGACAATAGAGATATTAAATTATTCCCTAAAATGAAATAAGTGGTCAAGAAGAAGTTTCTAGGCTGGAACTTGAACGTCGTTGTTCATGTTTATTTATAGCTGTACAACATGTTCTGGTTATTTTTGGAGGTTTGGGGCCAGCCTAAATGGGTCTGCCTAGGCCTCTGTTAACTTTCCTTCCCTAACTCCTGAGTCACATGTTGGTAGCTGGTACTGGCACTCAGCGTACCAGGGCTAGCAGATTAGGGTGGCCTCAACAGTCTTGGACTTCAGAATTGGGACAAGGAAATTCTAGCTAACTGCCATATAAATGCTTAATAATAAAAAGTCAAGTAGATATGCATTTATCAGACAAAACAGATGACAACTAATTCACTATTTTGAATAACAAATCCAACAATTCTAGAATACAGAAGAAAGGACAAGAAAGCAAACTCTATTAAGCAGCAGCGTACTGCCATGTTAAGTCCCATTATAATGGTTTTGTTTTGATCCTATTCTCTGCTGCTTCACAGCTGACTCTTAGACCACAGCTCTTGATAATTCTCCATGATTACTGATCGTTTATTCACTGCTTGGATTGGGAGCCAAACACCAGAAAGGCCTCTGGTTAGTTTCTTCTCTGAGTCTTTAATATGGCCAGTTTATTTTTATACACTAGTCTGAAGTACTTTTCGTATTAAGCAACACCACCCTTCTGTAGTATTTTTAGCGTTCAGACACTCCCTACCCCAGCTTTTGGGTCAGCCTTTGCCCACGTTTCCCGTAACTCCATGAACCATGGTCTCTTAATGGGCCACTTTCTTCCCTTCTTTTGTTTTCCTCCTTTCCCTCCCAAGTTGGGCTCTGCAGCTCTGTCCCAGCTTTGCCTTTGTTTCTCAGCTTTGGTTTTCTCTGCTGACTACTTTGAGCTGATCCAGGGTCACAGAAAGTCTAGTGGGGACGTCACTGATGCTGCTGGTTTCTGACAAGCTCCAGAACTGGGTGGAAACTTTCACAAATAAGTCTTTAGAGGGTCAGATGTATACATATTCAACAAGTCAACCAAACTTGATTTCTTTATAATGAGATTTTATACATGTACTTATTTCAATTCCAAATACTTATATGATGTTGTTTACACCAATTCTGAACAGAGACCTCTCCAATGTCATGGTATCCTCTAAGTGCAAATACAATAAGTTCAAAAGATAGGATGATTTATCTCCTGAAGTAGTCTGAGTCCTAAAAGGGTGGCAGCAGTTTTTTAATACTATTTTGTATAGAACTAGCACTGTGCCTTGGGCAAGGCAGGCTCTTGATAGGCACTGGTTGGTTTAGGTTATTGATAACTCTCTGGAAGTTGTAAGAGGGGAGATATTACAATGCTGAATTTAAATGTAGCACCATTCTGTATCTCTGGCAGAAAAGAAAACTATGTCACCCCTTTTGAAGGTTAAAAAAAAAACCCTAAACAATTATGCTTTTACTTTCTTATTGCCTCCTACGGATTGTTTTGTTACTGAGAAAATGCCTCCAAGCGGAAGATACTCACATGTCGCCACGCATGGTACTTGTGGTAGCTCCACTGTGAATATACCCAGGTTTTCGAGCATGGATTTGCGCTAGAAAAGCCTTTTCAGAGGTTGGTGAGGGAACAAGATCCTCAAACTGAGTCCGTGCAAATTCAGAATCCACATTACTCTCTGTTTCACTCCCAACCTCTGGCAGATACAATTGAAGAAATAAAGAGTGACTTGTTAGATTTTTTTATGACCTGCAAATAAGGGAGTAGGCTTAACAAATCAACCTGTGCTGTGTAAAATGTTAACCAGTTATCATATTTTAATCAAGTACATTTTAATTTTTTCAAAATAAGAATTGATATTGACATGAATTACTATAAAATCAGTTGGTATACAGCATTTTTCAAATCTCAGAAATGTTATGAGGAATTTTTGCCATCTTAGTAACTGACTTAACTTTTTAAAACTTCTGGTTTTTCCCTTCTGTAAGAGTCTTAACTAAAATTGTTACTTTTGCTTAATATTACACTAATTTAAGAAATATGAGTTAAAACCTAAACCTAACCATAAAGTATTCACCTAAAATGCCTAAAATATGAACTTAAAATATGAAGTGAACCCTATCACTTAATACTTCAAAGAATTATGAGTATAAACTAACAGTGCTTAAGACTTCTACACCAAGGATAACTTCGTACTCATCATTTGCTAGGGGCGTGACTACCTGCCATTAATCATGATGTATTAACTACTATCATTTAATTCTGTTTGGTAATCTTAATTTAAATTAGTAGCAACAATTTTCAATTGAGAGGCTTTAAGAAAGTTAAGTCCAGGATTTTTTTAATTCTGAAGTTTTATTTCTTATAGCTGTTGTAATCTCAACTATAAGACCATAGTCTTGCCAGACAAATCTCTTGCTAGGTCGGCCTTAAGGAATAGATGGAGATGCATTAGTAACTGGTAGGATATTTATCTGCATATTCATACTGCTAAAGTTTTGAACACTCTTTGTAGTATTAGGAGGATAAAAAGTCTCCTTAAATCTTATGCATTTATTTCTGGGCAGATCTATCTTCAGAGATACTGCAAAGGTAAATTTCAATTTGAAATTCAAATTCAAATGATCAGGCGTTCTAAATTAATGAAACCTAAATAGATAAGGGCTGGAAATCCCAGCACTTTGGGAGGCTGAAGCAGGATGATCATTTGAGCCCAGGAATTCAAGACCAGCAAGACCCCATCTCAAAAAATAAATAAATAAATAAACATTTGACCCTATAAAATAACTTTAGCATCACGTTGTTTTAGGTCACCATAGATGTGAACAGTGGCTATCTTTGGCTTCCAGAATTGTAGGTCAGTTTGAATATTTTTCGTTGTTCTTTTCTGCCTTTTTCAAACTTTCTACATTGAGTATGTATTAATAGCCTTTTAATAAGCAAACTATAAACATTACTTAAAAAATCGGAATAGGCCAGGCATAGTGGCTCACGCACTTTGGGAGGAAAAGGCAGGAGGATCACTTGAGGCCAGGAGTTTGAGACCAGCCTGGGAAACATAGCAAAGACTCTGTCTCTATGAAAACACAAACAACATTAGCCAGGTGTGCTGGTATGTGCTTGTAGTCCCAGCTACTAGGGAGGCTCAGGTGGGAGGATTGCTTGAGCCCAAGTGTTTGACATGCCAGTGAGCTATGATGGTGCCACTGCACTTCAGCCTGGCAACACAGAGAGACGCCGTCTCAAAAAACAAAACAAAAATTAAAAAAAAAAAAAAAACAAACCCTCAAATCTGAATGGACCAACAAAATACCATGTAGAGCTTTAAACAATCTTTTGATATTAGACAATGAGCAGATCTCTTGGAGAGGCCGCTAGCACTTACGGACCCCTCCATGATGAGCAGACAAATGAAAAGGAATCAGGAGCTCACCAGAATTCAGCTCTTTCACAAGAGAGGACATAGTGTTAGTGATGGAATCCGCAGCCACTAGCAAGTCATTCCTTAAATTTCTTCTTGAACCTTCAGGGAAGAAGAAATAATGTAAAAAACCAAAGCCTTCCTTTTATCCTACATTTTTATGTTGTTTGTTTATCTTTCCCATTAATAACCTAAAGCAAGAAAACTTCTAAGATTTCTCCTTTTCAGAAGGGCTTTGGTTCATTTCCTGAAAAAACAACAGCAGCAACAAAACACCACGTAGGGCAGTGGGTCCTGCGGTAAGAAGACATGGCTAATGATGGAGCTTCATATATTATTTGTCCAAGTGGGGACAATTTTGAAAGTGAAAGAGAGCAGTATGAATCAGACTGGCTGACCTGGCAAAACTGGGATGGTCCCAGGTAAACCAGTGTGTGTGGTCACCCTTCTTAAGAGTAATCCTGGCCGGGCGTGGTGGCTCACGCCTGTAATCCCAGCACTTTGGGAGGCCGAGGCGGGCGGATCATGAGGTCAGGAGATCGAGACCATCCTGGCTAACATGGTGAAACCCTGACTCTACTAAAAATACAAAAAAATTAGCTGGGCGTGGTGGCGGTGCCTGTAGTCCCAGCTACTCGGGAGGCTGAGGCAGGAGAATGGTGTGAACCCTGGGAGGCAGCACTTGCAGTGAGCTGAGATTGTGCCACTGCACTCCAGCCTGGGCAACAGAGCAAGACTTCATCTCAAAAAAAAAAAAAAAAAAAAAAAAAAGAAAGGATAATCCACACAGATGAAAAGTCAGGTTTGCCAGGAGAGCTGTGCCTTCCTAGCTGCTGTTATTGTTCTTGCCCTTACCTGATGGCTGAGCACTTTTGATTCTGGTCTCTACTAGGACATGCACTGTCTCCTATCAGGGCTCCTGGAGCTCTTCCTGCCAGTATAAGTACCACTTGGGAATGGAAAACCCACATGCACTGAATGCCCCCAGAGTGTGAGAAAGGGGTGAGGATTCTTGTTTCTTCTGCCAAGACATGGGCAGATGCATGTCTGATACTACGAATTGGAACTTAGACTATGTTTCTTAATGGCAGAGAATGATTATTATTTTGTTTCACGCACACTAAGGCTTAAGTGGATGCTTTTGATCCAGCCTGGGAGTAGGGAAAGTAAAGAGAGATAATTACCATACCATCTTTGAGAAAAAAATGGTTCAAGATTCCAAATACCTAACTTACAAATGAACTTAGGTGGCATGAACTCTTTATAAGTTAAAGGCTGCCTACAGGCCACATTTCATTCTGTCATTTTTCAGAAAGTAATACTAACTACATAAAATAATAAATATGTTTAAACTTAAAAAATCACAGTAGTTAAGTAAAACATTTATTATAATATAAATCACAAATTGATTTAAAATATAGTAAATTTCTTTAAAATATGATTTAGAGAAGGGATATTTTTCTTTCTAAAAATTAAAATAAAAAAGGTATTTTGTGAATTACATTTTTAAAAACTCTTGAGTTACGTTCAGTGCCTAGAAGAAAAAGTTCTAACATAGATCCTTCCTTTTCCCTCATAAGAGAGTAGAGAGTTCATCATTCTCTCTCACTGAAGTGTGTTAAGATTTTATCACCCCTCCACATGGATGAGAGTACCTGTTTCCTTGCACTCTTGCTATCCCTGGATATTATGATGTTTCAAAACACTTTTTTAATCTTCTAGGCAAAAAGCGATACTTATTAAAATTTATATTTCTGCAATTATATCAGAGGTTGAACATCTTTTCATATATTTACTGGCAATTTCTCTTTGTTCTTCTGTCTGTCCATATCTTTCACCTGTTTTTGTTTTGATGGTGTCTGTCTTTCTGATGTGTACGTGATTTTTGCATAACTGAAATTATGAAACTTGATTGACACATATGCTGGAAATAGTTTCCTCAAGACTGTTTCTGTCTTTTAACTTTGTTTATGATCTCCTTTGCCTTAAAACCCATAGGCAAACATGTCTCTCTTTTCCTTAGATCTCTATGTGAAGACTTCGAAGAATGTGCATGATAGATTGCTAATTTAAAGAAAATGCAAATTGCAGACCCCGAAATGCAATGCATGATTCTATTTGTGTGAAAAAAACCAGAAAAGAGTATGTGCCTATAATTACATCCTTAAACATATCTATTTACACATAAGCAAAACTTTGGGAAGGATCAAACTGTTAGTAGTGGTTACTCTGGGAATGAAAGCTGCCGGGTGAAGGTCTACAGAATGATTTTTTTTTCTTATTCTCTATAAATGTAAAAAGGGATAGTAAGAAGAGGTTTTAAAAAGTGTTAAAAAGATTTCTAAATTAATACAGTCACTCTCCCTGTCGTGGGAAAGTGCTGGCTGGCATCCCCATCCTTCTTTGTACTCCTCTAACTGCAGAGGCCTAACCCTGTGGCCCTACCTTACAGAGGCAATGGCTCAACTCTTTGGGGAATCTGAACAAGGGATCTGTCAAATGACTACATGTCCTTCTTGCTTACCTCATTGCTAAAGAGCTGTGATTACTTATCTCAGTCTTGACTTTAATATAAAGAAAAGACAATATGAGATAAAATCTCTAAGAATTAAAAAAAAAATGGATTACATTTATGAAGTTTTCTGGGGGTCCTGGTGAAAAGATTTCCTGTCTTTTGATGAACAAAGACTTACTGAAAAATAAGACAGGGTAACAAAAGCCGAAGGAAGGTAAAATGGTGAAGTGAGAACAAATTGGTGTAGGGAGTTCCCAAAACGGCTGGCAGGCCCGGTTCTGACACCAGCCGTGAAAGACTCTTCAATATGAAGTCACATGTTGCTCTGACAACTCCTGACCACTCAACAGACCTTGGTGACCTATTTGTCACATAAAAGCAGACCACAACAAAAAATGAAGCCACTTACTTTGTGCAAATGCCTCCTGTACATCTCCCCCTACCCCTGTGAGGGAGTCCTGCGGCGTGTGTGTCGGGGTGGAGCAGGCTGACGCTGACCGGACGGGCATGGGAATTGGCCTGCTGATGGTGTGGCTGGGGGAGGAGCGGGGAGAGCCAGCCCCCTGAGTCTGGAGAAACAATGCGAGTCATTAATTTGCTTTTCCAAGAAAATGTCATATATCATGCCCACTGCCTCAGTTGATGGTTGAAAACAGTGACAATGAAATTTCAAAGCGGGAGGAAATCCTAGGTAATTGAGTTGGTAATCCTAAAGCTCATTTGCAGGTGCAGATAATTTAGGATCTTCTGTGTAATCCGAAGTTTGGGTTAAATATTGGAAGCCAAAAATATTAGTACAGCATTGCTCTACAGTATATGAGACGTGTGCCCATAAAATGAAGGTACTGTTAAATGCAGATAATTACAATGTGTGGATACTTTCTCCTTGAAGGAAGGTCTCCCAGGAATAAGAAGACATTAAGGAGAAAGTTTAAAATACAAACTAGAAGACTATTTGCAATGGATGCTTTCTAAATTTTCAACCTGACTATACTAGCATCATCTTTAGAGGATAAGAGTTCAAATCATGTCGTACAATATTGTGCATATTAAGTCTCAAATTAACAATCAAATGAAGTGTAAATTGTTTTATCTCTATTTTACAGTAAAAGCTGATTTTATCAAATTAGTGACTCAGGGATTCCAATGGGGAAGAAGAAGAAGAAACCTTGTTTTCTAATTTTTTGGTATTATTTCCTGCAGGAAATGTCCTTCTCTTCTCCTACGAAAAAGCAGTATTCTATCAGGACAATAAGAATAGTAGGATTTAAAGACAAGTAAAGAAAAAAGTAGAAAACAACTAAAGGAACTTTAGTTGTTCCTTTGCACTATAGTTTTGCACTAAACTATCTTTGCACTATAGTTTTTGGCATGAAACTATTCTGAGACTGTCACACCTCGAATCTTAAGGATTTGTCTCTAAATGAGGTGCCTTGTAAATATTCTCCCTATTTTAATAATTAGTTGACAAAAGAAGTCAGTCACATGCGTAAGAAAATGCAAAGAGACCCTTGAGTGCATACACAACAGATTAGGTGTTCACATCAATTCCATCCCAATCTGTTTGCTATGGTTGCTAGAGTGAGAATTCTTCTCCAGCAAGGCCCAGAGAGTCATCATTAACCCATTCGAACTCCCAGACCAGAGCAATGCTCTGGAATATTCCATTTAGATATTTGCTTTGGGTTCAGTGGCTTGTGGTTAAAACACACCACATCAATCCTGAAAAAATGCCATGCTGTTAGCTCCAGGGCTCAGCATCACACATAATTGTTAAAGCCATCAACTGAGAAAAACCCAGAATTAAAAATGGAGCAAAACAGAACAGAGCACAGAAAATATCTCATGGGGTGCCCAATGGGCTGAGGGTCCCATTCTTTCACTCTCAACAGTACCTTGTAATGGTCTGTCCAGGCCCAAGGAAGAGAACTTTGCCCAGTTGTGATGCTTTTGCAGCCTGGTTCCCTCGGCCTGCTCAAGGAGGGGTCTAGTTTTCCCCAGAAAACTCTGGCAGCTCAGCCCCATTACCTTGAAACCTTCTGCTTCTGAGCTACCACTACATCCTTGACCTTCCCATGCCAATAATAAATAATTTCACATTTGCGTTAAGCTTTATGATGTTCAAAGGGTTTTCACATACACTCTCACTGATTTCTCTCCATGCATTCTCACTCTGAATGTGAAGTTGTGGAGCCCAGTACTCAGAGAGGTGAAAATAATTGCTTCATCAGGAGACAGAACCAGAGCAGTAGGGCTGGGGCTGAGCCCAGGGGCTCTGAGTGCCCTGGGCTGCGGGAGCCTTGATGGCCATGGCTGGCAAAAAGTCCCTCAATGGAGACAGATGCTGATGAAGTGCCCTGAGCTCTTCCTACTTTGGCAATTCCTCTTGTACATCCTTTTCCAGGCAGGGTCCTTAGCAGGGCTCCTGAGCCTTTTGTCTCTGTCGTCTTTATCAGGGGACCAATAATCACAGCCGGGAGTGGGGACTAGAGAAGGGAAGTTGGACGGAGTGGTTATTAAGAAGTAGGATTCTTGGCCGGGCGTGGTGGCTCAAGCCTGTAATCCCAGCACTTTGGGAGGCCGAGACGGGCGGATCACGAGGTCAGGAGATCAAGACCATCCTGGCTAACACGGTGAAATCCTGTCTCTACTAAAAAAATACAAAAAACTAGCTGGGCGAGGTGGCGGGCGCCTGTAGTCCCAGCTACTCGGGAGGCTGAGGCAGGAGAATGGCGTGAACCTGGGAGGTGGAGCTTGCAGTGAGCTGAGATCCGGCCACTGCACTCCAGCCTGGGCGACAGAGCGAGACTCTGTCTCAAAAAAAAAAAAAAAAGAGGTAGGATTCTCTTGGCTATCAGTGTGGGTTACATTGTCATCCCTGGGAACCCAGATCGTCTTCCATGGTGGGAAGTTCACAATAATAATACAACTCCACCTTTGTAAGTAATTCACAGTGTATTAAGCACTTTTACATACACTGTTTTGTTTCATTTTCCTAGTACAATGGTAGGAGTGGTACTATCCTATATTTGAATAGCAATTTGCAGTCTGTAAAGCACTTTAGCCCCTCATACTTCATGTAATCCTCTTAACAACCATATGAGGTATTATTATTCCCACTTTATATATTAGCAAACTGAGGCTCAGAGGAGATAACTGGATTACTCAAGGTTTCTGAGCAAGAGAATGGCAGAGATTATCCCTAGTCTTTAGACTCCAAGCCCGGGCTTCGCCATGCTGATTCTAAGGACTGTGGGCACTTTGGCCAGCCATCATATGCTTCCATCTATGCTTCACTAGTGTAGAAAGGTTCAGCAGCCTGAAGAGGGAACAGGCGCAGGGCACAGACCCAGCACGACCACCTTGTGGTGCTGGAGCAGTGTCCTAGGGGTTCCTGCTACTGGGCCAGGCAGTTATCTTTTAGTTGCTGGATCACAGAAAATGTGTGTGGGTGCTCAGGGTGGTGGGAGGGCCTTTGGACTGTTTATCAATTGGTACAGAAGTACAGGCCTACAATCTCTTATTTGCAATTTTGAAAGCCAAAAAAGCTCTGACAAACACTAGTCATTCCATAATGAATTTGGTCTTAATGGATGTGAGGCAACTGATGATATCTGCATCATATTGCTTTTCAAAACTAGATAAATTCTGAATTCTGGAACATATCTGGATCTAGTGATTTGAGATATGGGGCTATGGACCTTATTTCACTACTTTAATGTCTGTTCCAGGGCTGTAGTGCGCACCAGCCTTGATTATACCTCTTATACCTGGTTCTCCAGGGAGCTGGGGGCTCCTCCTTCTAGGCAGCATTTGTAAGTAGACTCATATGTCTGGCTCTTCCACCTCCTTTTCTGTGAGCCTCTCCCCATCTCTTAGTTCACTGGGCTCCTCTGCTAATTCCTGTGGGTCTGAGGCATGCCCCACCCTACCTCTCTCTGCTCAGTGCCTGGTCTCAAAGGCAACTTTTGCTACTCCTTTCTGTGGGCATTCTTTTTCAAAACTCCCATTAGTGGTTCTACATTAAGAAGAAAATAATTGGCTCTCGTTGTGTGTTAAGGGAAAAACAGTTGACTGAATCTAAATTACACCAATGTGTGAATGATGAATAGCCACCATTTCCCAAGGGAATCTCTAATTGGTGCAATTTTGTGCAGTATGATTATGTGAATTTAGGTGGAAGATCCTGTGCTGAAGAGAATAATCAGTTGCATCTTTCCCACAACTGGCAACTCCCATGTCACATCCAGCCTTTACCCAGACTTTTGGGGGTAGGACACTGACACCCTGGGTGATCACGGCTCCATCTCTCCATGTGAGGACACTGTCCAGTTTGATGCATAGCATCTTCCTAGTGCCTACCCACTGTGAGGAATGCCATCTCTGGCCTTCCTTTCTGTTCTGTTCTTGTAGGAACACTAGGAAAAGGCAGTGGCCTCTTGGCATTGGGGCAGATCAGTGATGATGTCACTGAGTTTCATTTTCACAGGAAGTGGCCTTGGTGGAATGGTGGCTTCCAGCCTGGTCATGAGGCATAGTTGTCTGCTAACAACTGTAGAAGAGTTAGAGTGAATAATCTCTGTGAATATCCTTTCCTGGAAATTACTCAATGATTAATGGAGCAAAGACTTAAGGGACAACGGTCCATGCAGATCAATATATAGATATAAAATTCCCAAGGAGAGAGTTGATTTATGGAAGAAGGAAAACATATATCACACTTGGCAAATTTAAAATAGCTCACTTCCTGGAGAATAAATGAAAAATTAATTTCTATGCACCATCCTCCAAGTCTACTCAACTTGCTGTTGTATCAAATTTTTAAAAGTCTGACAAGATTCATACATTTTTTGATATTTTCCAGGAAGTGTTTTGGTTTCTATTCACCATCAGAAATGAAGGATGCTTCATGAAAAGGAGTAAATGTCTAATTGTTGAATCAGGACCCCCTGGTGAAAGAGCAGAGAATTATATGTCCCCCTCCCCGCTAGACCTGAAGAGTCTGCCTCTCAGTTTGGCTGAGAGTGCAGTCTGGTCATGCCTGGCTGCACCTAGCATCCTGGGAAGGTGCAGCAAAGCAGTGTTTAGCAGCCTTCAACCCTGTTTTCATCCTTATTCTTCCAATATAAATGCACTGACTATCCTCACATTGATGATAATTTTTATAATCAGCCTTTTTAAAGTGGTCATTGTGAATAGAGTGTTGTGGGGGTACACAGGTGATTAATTCTGACTGTTCAGGCAGGAGGCATCATTTGACTTGGGTTTTAACAGTGAAGATTTCCAGGCAGAAATGAGAAAGTGTGGGGAGAAGAAAAGAGCAGAGCAACCTGGGCCTTGGAATAGCAGGAGCAAGGCATGGGAAATCTGAGATGTATTGTGGAGAGGGTGGGAAGGCCATTGTGGCTCTGGTGTCAGGCTGGCTGCTGGGTGTAGAGAGAAATGAGGCTAGAAAAGGGAGACGGGCAGGTCTGGGGACTTGCAGGGTAGACTTTATTGTGAACCAGAGAGTCATCTTCCGAGGCTTTTAAGCAGAGAAATAATATTTACTTATTTAGAATTAATTATA